ATAACACCATAGGTCACACTGTGTATAGAAAAAAGACCCATACAAACAGATATTTAAACGGTGAATCCCACCATCATCCTTCACAGTTAGCTACCGTGTGGGCAAATCTTTGTTACAGAGAGCAGGAGGGATCTGTGACAGCAAACACCTGGCCGCCGAGCTTCAGCACGTCAAGCAGGTACTGCACGACAACAAGCTTTGGGTCCCGCGCCTATGTCACAGTGACCGAGTGGAACCGGCCACAGTCGAGCGTGTGCCTGCTGTACTACCATATGTCAGAAGTTTCACAGACAAAATTGGCTACATCTTGAAGTGAGCTTCTATTAGGACATTCTTCAAGCCGCCAAAGAAGATTAGTCAGTTCTTACCATCCGTCAAGTGCAATATTCCTCTACAAGATGCAGGAGTGTACAAGCTTGGAGTAGGAGTGTTAAGCTGAAACTGTATAAAAAGGGTTATTATAGTATAAATGAATACATGGTTGATAATAACCCCTGGGATTGAGGTAATCACTTCCAAGCAGTTTCTAAAATAAATTTTGTAAATAGTTTGTAATCATTGATATTGTAAAATTTATTTTTAAAAAAAGTCCCGCTGGGTTTCTTGCTGGTTCTTCCCAGAGGGTTTTTTTCGAACCAGTGGTAAATTAAAAAATGACTTTCAATAAGAATTACACATGTAATGTATATTGAATAAAAAATTATTCTATTCTATTTTATTCTTGATTGTGAGTGTGGTCTCTCATATATAGGGCAAATAAAACGATCAATAAAAACCCGTGTAAAAGAACACATAGCTGACGTGAAGCACCAACGTTCCAGGAAGTCTGCAGTTTGTGATAATATCCTAGACGGCCCCCGCCATTACATTAGATTTGATAAACCACAAATTCTCACGAAAGAACATCGATTCCTGCCAAGGATGATATGTGAGGCTATTGAAATTAAAAAACATCCTAATTTCATTAGAGAGGGAGGCTGGGTACTACCACCTGCTTGGGATCCTGTAATTCATAAAATTAAAAGTAAACCCAAGCATACCACTGTAAGACTTCAAGATACAGTAAGTTCATTCTGCGTAGATCGGACCAAAATTAATAATTAAAAAAGCTGAAGGTACTCCGGATTAACTCTGACATTGGGACGTCAATCACCTCAGTCCCCTGTGACCACAGTTGCTGGAAAGAAACCGAAACGTTGGAAATATAAAAATAAGTTAATTAAACCCGATAAAATCCGTAAAAGTAGTTTTATTGAATGATGGAGAAGTCATTAAAATTCCTAGCATCTATTGCTATGGCCACTTGGATGATACCCATACAATCCACCTGAAACACTGTGTTATAGGTCCTTCACCACCTACATTAGTTTTCGAACCATCGGTGAAAACTCTAAGCTCTTTTGGGCTTAATCCTTCCGGCTGACTGGTTTCATTTAATTGTATCTTGTACTTCTTATCGAAAACAAATTGTTTAGGAATCTTATCGTACTTGACTTGTAAGATAGGAATTTTTGAGTGAATTCTATCCATTATGCCTGTATGAGGGACACTATTCTTACTCCAAAGATTTAGGTCTTGAGTCGGATGGCAGCTAAAGTCACTTGTTGTTGTATATGTAGATGAAGCGGGGTTAGCTCCAGCATCGCTTCTAAGGCTGCTGCCATATGTGATCATGGGCCGAATTAATTTTGTACAGCCACAGTATGATTTTTGGCATCAGATCCCATCTTTTGCCAATCATGTTTCTACATTGCCAGAAAATTATACTAGCTTTGTTGATTTTATTTTTTATGTGTTTATTCCAGTCAAGTTTGCTGTCCAAGGTAAGACCTAAATATTTTACCTCAGAGGATAGCTGGAGTTTTGTGCTAAGAAGACTTAGGAGATGATAGTTATTCAGCATTCATTTTTGTGTGAACATTACTAGAACTACTACTAGGGCTGCTTTGGTTAGGTCGCACACTATGCTTGCTGTAATAAGGAGTACCTTAGGTTACTTTTGTTTCAAAAAAATAATTAGGGTTCTGCACAAAAAATTTAATACCCTAAATTATATGCGATAAAATCGAGGGGAACAGCTAGTATTAATAGATATTAATTTTACTAAATGCATATGGAAGTTTATGTGGTACTTATAACAAAAAAAAAACATTTTTAAAATTTTTGTGTCTGTCTGTTTGTTTCGGCTAATCTCCAAAATGGCTGGACTGATTTTAACGGGACTTTCACTGGCAGATAGCTGATGTTATAAAGAGTAACATAGGCTACTTTTAGTTTAGAAAAATAATTAGGGTTCTGCACAAAAAATATTAAAACCAATGAAATCCAATCATAATAAATTTTACGCAAGGGTTGACCCCTGAAAGAAAGAAGAAAATTTTTGATAGACTACATTTAACACAAGTAAAATGGACAATAATAGTCTGTATACATCCCAATGAAATCCATTTCTTGGTCTTTTGGAGCAGGGCTTCGTTTCAAATGCAAGTTGGTGGATCAATCTTTGGGGTATTTTTAAAATATCCTCACTTAAAATTGCAATTAACAATTACATTGGTGGCGCCAGGATTGAACACAGATTGCCCAATTTTTAAAATATATTTTTGAGGCTTTTTATTAAACTGTTGTAAGCCAGTACTTGATTACTATCCCCACTAACTAGAGTATGCTTTAAAACACTGAAAGGCTGACTTTGCACCTGTCCCCGAACTGCTAAGATTAGTCCTAACCATGAAGCAAATACAAAGAGGAGACATTGTAATTAAATTTCACTATGTAACAACGCGTGACAATTTGCAGGGTGAGAGGATGCAAAGCCCCGCCCACTTTACATTATCTACATCTACCGATATATAGTAAAACTACTCGAATCTTTCCATATCGATGTTGCAATGTAGCTTAGCTACCTCGACGGTAGATGGCGGCATGTCCACAAAATATTATAAACTATAAAAACAATATATTGGCGATTAAAATTTCTTTATGTCTGAATGCAAAACAAATTTCAGCACCTTCCTATGATTATTTTATCATTACTGAGCTCTACGTACCATTATATTTTTAGTTCACAGGACACAAAGTGTCGCCATCTAGTGTGGAATATGTTTAATTATATTTGAACGCCGACGCAAAGAGATTATTCTAGAACTATTTAAATAAATTAGGTGTAAAATTACTTACAAATGAAATGTGACACCATCCATAGCATCGGAGCGTCTATCTCATGAAGCAAATACATTCAGACAAAGAAATTTTAATCCCAAAAATAATATTTTTATAGTTTTCATAATAATTTTAGAAACAGGCCGCCATCTATCGTCAAGTAAACCTCATAAAAAATAACAAAAAGACAGGGCCGCAATTAGAATTCTATTATTTTACCCAGTAACCCAACATTCAATATTAAAATGAAGGAAATTGTACTTGGCTGATTTTTACGAAATGTTTAAGTTTTATTTAAGTGACATTCTATATGCAAAGAATCACTTAAATACAATTTAAATATGTTTATCATTTCGTGAAAGTCAACCTTCAAGAAATATTTATTTTATCCATAAAATAAAGTCTCTTTGAAACTAAATATTCTATGTTCATTATTAAGTAGGATATTTAATTTGGAACTAAATATCCTATTTAACTCACTAATATTATAAAGGCGAAATTTTGTGTGTTCTTTCTGTCTCCTTGAGCTTATTCCACACTAAGTATGTGTAATTTTTTCACGCAGAAACGGCTGGATTATTATTTATGTGTGGGTTATACTACTTAATATCTCTGAGGGAGAACAAATAATAGACAAATTATTATAATTAATATAATTTTATTTACAAATCAATTAAAATATAAATATTTTATTCCAAATTAGGCATCCGAATGCACTTTTTGAATGCCAATCTAAGAACATTAAACTGTATTTAAGTGATTCTTTGCATATAGAATGTCACTTAAATATAACGTAAACATTTCGTAGAAATCAGCATAAGTACAATTTCTTGCATTTAATATTAAAAGTTAGATTTCTGGGAAAAATTATTGAATTCTAATTAGGGCCCTGTCTTTTTGTCATTTTTATGAGGTTTACTTGACGAGAATACGGCCTGTTCTCAAAATGATTATAAAGTATAAAAATAATATTTTGCGATTAAAATTTCTTTATGTCTGAATGCAAAACAAATTTCAGCACCATCGTATGATTATTTTACCAATACTGAGCTCTACGGACCTTTATATTTTTAGTTCACATGACACAAAGTGTCGCCATCTAGTGTCGAATATATTTAATTATATTTGAAAGCCGAAGCAAAGAGATTTTCTAGAACTATTTTAATAAATTAGGTGTAAAATTATTTACAAATGAAATGTGATGCCATCCATAACATCAGAGCGTCTATCTGAGTAGTTTTTACACAATAAAACACAACACTTCATCCTTTTCTTCTTAATACTACGAAAATACACCGATTTGCGATTTTTTCAGCACATAAGCGCACAGGACGAATGCTGACAGTATACTAACTAAAGCCACGCCCACTATGATGACGTCAGGACCTACTTGGAATCACAGTGCACAGTTGCTTATGCCGTCTCCCCTTTGTATTAGCTTCATGGTCCTAACCATATTGTTATCGCCGTTAAGGCTCTTAGCACACTTCTATGGAGACCAAAGCACCTAGGTGGCATTTTGTCGCACCAAGTAACTTTCCGCCATTCTTCTGCAACGACACCTAGCTTCCTGGCAGCTGCTTGAGCCCTGAACTCAATTAAATATCCAAAGTTAAGATTCGATAAAACCTCAAAGGCGGTCGGTTCTCAGTGCCGAAAAGCATTTAATGATATTTTCGTACTAATATTTAGTCGAAAAAAGAGGTTAAAAATTTAAATATTTAAGGATAATTAATGTTTACTATTGTCATCAATATCAATGAAATCATGTATTGTATATCTTGTTTTCATTGATCATTAATATATAGTAGTTACAAATGTTAATCTCGTGTACTTACCGTTCCGTGGGAAATCCGTTGTATTATGCTCCATATTCTAAGAGGAACAATTAAATAAAAAGTTCGCCCCTGAATTATTCTGCCACTAATTTACACAAAGTGTGTATAAAGACTTCGCACGTTTTAGATTTTGCGCGGTTTTCACTGTAGTTACAAAACATTCACATGAATGCTGCATTTCTAAACTAACATAAATTTAAAAAAAAATATTAACGAACATAAACAAGGTCAAAATATTAAGCAAAGAGTTGTAAATAAATACTTTAAATTAATTAATTTGGGTTGGATACACGCCTGGTAATCTTTGAGAAAAAATCTTTATAACCGTACGAAACGCAGTGAGAACATGACGTTTCCCTCGTCCCTCGCACCTCTTCCCCTTCTCACAGCCGCCATTTTGTCATGTTATTGACGCGTTAAGCCCGCCATATACATACGGAATTCCGTTTCGAGATTCCGTTTCGATATTCCGATTCGAAATCCCGAACGCAGCAAGTCCATATAAAATCTATGATCCGCCACACACATACGGTATTTTTCCGTTCGAAATTTTGCGGGCAAAACAGGATTCCGTATATTGTGTGGCCGACCCGTTCGGAATTCCGAAACGGAATCTCGAAACGGAATTCCGTATGTATATGGCGGGCCTTAGGCCGGCCACATACATACGGAATTCCGTTTCGAGATTCCGTTTCGATATTCCGATTCCGAATCCCGAACGCAGCAAGTCCATATAAAATCTATGACCCGCCACACACGTACGGTAGTTTTCCGTTCGATAATTTGCGGGCAAAACGGAATTCCGTTTGTGTGTGGCCGACCGTTCGGAATTCCGAAACGGAATCTCGAAACGGAATTCCGTATGTATATGGCGGGCCTTAAGGTGGCTCCTGACTTGCCTGCCGCAGGGGCAATCTAGGGCGTAAGAGTGGGGATGACCCTTTGTGATGTGTGTAGGCAAGCAGGGGCAATTTTTTAAGACGGCCCTGCGGCAGGGCGGCAGGAGCGCAGTGTTGCAAAAGTTCCCGATTTATCGGGAGATCTACTGATTTTAATTGGTATCTCCCGATATCCCGATTTAGCTAACGTATCTCCCGATTTTTTTACATTTTCAACCAATGTAAAATAATAATCATAAATAAAATTGAAAAGTAATAATCAAAATACTAAAATGAACTTTTAACACAAAATCTATGTACAGGGACTTGCCAAAATTGCTCGCACCACGTCCTATGGGACCTATACCTATAACCGGTACATATATATTATCGGTATACGGTAAAGCTGTATAGCTTATGTTTATGTCGTAAAATATCAATTTAAATATTGTCAAATTATTATCAAATAAATAAATAAATAAATAAAAAAACCTTATTAGGTTTTTAACTTCGCGGTATGGTTAAAGCATATTGCACTGATACATCTTAAAATAGAGTTCATTATTGTCTGGTAAGTGTACGGGGGAGATCCCTAAAGATTACTTTGTTCGGGTTGTTTTACGAATTAGGTAGCTTAGGCCATGTATATATAGTGTTGTTCGTTCAAAGAATTACATTCACTAATTACTAGCCTTCTTCTGTTTTGTTGAGAACTGTTGTGCTTTATATCCAAATTTGTTAGGTAGCATTAGTTATCAAAAAAATTATTTATAATGGCGTTTGCTTCTAAATACGAAAGAAATTAAATCACTCAGTGAAGAAACGGAAGAATTTTGGAGAAGCGTAAGTAGCAAAAATATGTTTTAAAAAAATTGTTACCTAACTTATCATACGGGCTAGTATGGGAAAGTAAATATTCCAATAATATTAAAATTGCTGGAATATAAATAAAATGTCATTAAATAAAAATTTAAACAAAAATACAAATTTTAGTAAATAAAATTTATTAAAACCATCATTAGAAAACTATCCTGGCTATTTGTAACACTAGTTAAATTATAGTTACTAAGCACTGAATAGTTAAGTTATATTACAGAACAAATTGGTATATAACCAATTTGTTCTGTGATATAACTTAACTTTATTTTACTTAATTACTTAAATTATGACGAATAAAGTTAGTCATATTTAATAGTCTTTGATAGCCTAAAAATAGCGTGGCAGAGCTATGCTGCAGCTTCTAAGCACTATATTATGGTTGTAATTATTAATTAATTGGTTGTTTTATTGATAAATGTGGGTGTCTATAGACCACAGTGTCCACTACAATCAGGTGGACTGTGCTCATTTGTCACCCCTATTCTATATAAAAAAGAGCCAAGGCTATATATACCGATTCATTGATATTTCGATAAAACTGGCGCCATTTCAACGCGGGCGTCCAGCGAGACGTACACTCTCATACTCAAAGACTACAATGTTATATAGGCTCATACTGAACGGCAGGCGTGTGTGTAGGGACAGTTCCGATATTGCTCCGATCGCGATGCTTCCTTGATTGCCCCTGCGGCAAGCAGGTCAGTAGCCACCTTAACTGTCAAGTTAGAAGTTTTCTTGGAAATTTTAATTTTGTTTTTCTAGGCTGGTGCAACTTCCATAGTAAAAATTATATGTACTACAGGGGTCAAATTTTAATGCCGGCTACTCTTCTTTATGCTTTTTGTGATACGTTTATTAACGACATTGTCAAATGAAATAGGTTCAAATGTCAAATCAAACAATTATATTTGTATATATTTTATTAATTAAGATTGCTTTTAATTTTGCTATAGGAGCCGTTGTTCATTTACAGAATTGTTAAGAAATTAAATATGCATTATAAAACTTTCCAATTAAATGGTGCAAGAAGCGGAAAAAATGATAACAAGAAAAGGCTATTAGTAACAATATTTCCCTTAGATGATGAAAGGTATGTGGTGATTTCAACTTTAATAGTAATATGATATAAAACGCGAGTATATTTTTGGACTAGACATCTATGTAGGACATGTTTTTATAGTGTACGATTGTGTGCACAATACAAACACACTATTTCCTAAATCTGATAGTTCGATGGTTTGGCAATCCGAAACGAACTATACTTAGAAACTACAAGTCAATTCTGACTGCTAACATTCTATTTGTTCAATAATAATGTGATTTTATTTATATTATTTTTTCAGATGCAAGCAATGGGTGAAATAGCTGGCACATGCACCACTTGAAAAGATTCACATGTTAAGACATATTTGTGACAAACATTGCATATGAACCCAACTAAAACGAACTGTTATTTCTTTAGTGGACTTACTTTAAACTTCCACAATTTATGTGTATGTTAATTAGGTTTCATTTACATGTAGCAAAAGATAATATCCCTCTAAAGTCACATTTTGACAAGAATTAGATTATATAACTAAATCATTATTTTATTCATCAATAAACATTAGCTATAATGAGCACTTATTTTGAAAGCGACAATTAGTAAACGATTTCTGCGAATAGTATGTACATAGGTGCCTCTGTGAAGAAGCTTAGCGATTTGTATATAGTATTTGTTACACATAAAAGCAATTTAATCCAATCAGTATTAAAAACCCAATATTTTTACCCTTAAAAAAACTAACGTTGAAAACAAGCATCCAGACGCAGACTATTTATTTTACAGCATAGCAACAATTGTTCAGTGCGGGAAGGATGCCTCGGTCCTGCAATGCCGCAGCCAAACGCTTAGCCACTGCGCTACGGAGTCGTCATTTATTTTTTACTTAATTAATAAAACAATGTATAAAAGTTTTTTATTTTATATTTTCTTTATACATACTTTTGTACCTAATTGCAGAGATATAAATACAAATTGCTATGTGTAAAATACATTGATTTCTTATCCTCATCGGCATTTTTACTCAATCCACACGTTAAAAAATTTATTTCTCATAAATAATTTACTATAGAGATCTAACTTTTCTTATGTAAAAATATCGATTAAAAATGTATCGATAAACGTTATATCGATAAAATTATTCGAGGATAGACATTTACAGCACTATTGTAATTCGTCAATGTTGTCAGCACTGTTTCTCAAAACTAAATGCCATATCTTGATGTTGGTAGAGTAACTTGGCGTAATTTCATGCAATTATTTTTACTATGGAAGTCCCGCCTCTTAAACTATGGAGTGTAGAGTAGAAGGAGAACCATCTTATAAGGAGCGAAGGTTGAAAAAGTGTCCTACTATTTACTGTAAATAGAGGTTCCAAAACCTACCACAATAGCGCTGGCGTCTGAAAAACTACGATATGAAGATAGCTGTTATGAACGGAGTGAAGTCAGCTGAATTCAAATATTTCATGACTAGTTAGTAAAACACCAATATACAAAATCTCAACTATTTACGTAGTACAAAACCAAGCGGATTGATCGGTCCTTATTTATTTCTCCATCTTATTCTAAATACTTTTGGCGCTTCTTTTTTAATTTTTCCTATGCTACTGCAGCGCCACCCTTATTGGACACGTTTTTAGGGACACTTTTCATATACAGAGATGGTCCTCCTTCTACTCTACACTCCATATCTTAAACGTAGTGATTATATCACAGAGTACATTATATAATATAGGGAAGATTATATTCTCTTTGCTATGAACTATGAACTAACTATAAATTATAAATAAAATTTTATAACGCGTAGTGTTTCTATATAGTTTGTGGTTGGATATTGGATTTTTTTACTGGCTTTACGGCTCTGGGTTCTAGCCCTTCTGCACCTAAATTGGATTTCACAGTAAAACCAGCACAGAGTACTTTTTATGTACTGAAAACCAGTCAAAACCACAGATAACTGTATGTCGCTTTCGCTTGCTACATATTCATTTATCTATGCTGTATTAGCTTACTACTATGTAGTGATTATATTCTCTTTGTACTATGGAGTGTAGAGAGAAGGAGGACCACGGAATATAAAAAACAAGAGGAAGTAGCAAAACATATAACTTGTACCAGAACCACTGTCGCAAAACTCACACATTCGCTATTTCAATAATTTTCACGTGATTGGCAATTAAGAAATAAAAGAATAAGGCATTATGTTATTCCCGACTCGCTTTATACCAACCATAAGACATTAAAAATAAAGATCATATTCCTTTTCATCAAATAAGTTTCTAGAAATAATGATCAATTTCAGCTTCTTAACGTTAGATGTCGCAATAATAATTTCAAGCTATTATAGGCACATAGTCATAAGGTTATCTTTGCCCTATCTAACGTGCTACTACTCCGTGAATTGTTAGTGATGTAGTAACACTGCTCGAACGTGATTTGAATTATCGATATTTAGTCAATATTAAAGTATGTAATAATCTATGATTAAATTAATAAAATAACAAAATTTAGTGGGAATTGCCTTCATGCAATTCGTATATTCACCGTAATTCACATAGTCGACATATAATCAGTTGACT